CCTCTCCTCTACAGCACTTCCTCACCTTGGGGTACAGGCAGCCCAGTGCACTGCAGTTGCTTTTACATGCCCACCTCCTTGACTTCCCAGGGCAAGATCAGCACCTCTGCCATCTTTATATGCCTGGCACCTGGCACACAGCTGGTACTTGATAAATGCTAACTGGGTGAAGACTAATAGGAAGCAGGAAAGGGAGGGGCTTAGAAGGTGTTAAGTGTTCTTAAGCACGTTTCAGAGCCAGGATCAAAATCGGGCCAGGGTAGAGCTTAAAAGCTGGTCATGGTTAAAAAGGGACAGTGAGGATAGGACACAGACTTTCTAAGCATTCTGGACTAGGGCTTAAGAGGGCTGAGAGAAACTGATCATTTAGGTAAATACACCACTGCCCAAGGCAGCTGGGTGGGGGTACCAACGAGACTATAAAATCTTATATTAGCCTCAGAGAGCAGAAACATCTGCTAAAGCCACAGCGGGCAGGCTGGCCAAGTTCAGCAACGGGTTAGCCAGGACAGCCCTGTGACCAACAGAAAGGGCCACAGAGGGGAAGAATCAATCAGCTAGGCAAGGAGGAAAGGGAGGGCCTAGCAGCGACAAAGGGGCCAGCTGTCAACAACCCACTGGGGTTCCCTAGCGCAGGGAGGGGCTTCAGAGGCCTCTTCTGCCCCCTCGGCTCAGGCCACCGCTGGCTTCCAGGCCTCCTCGCGCCCTCAGTGCCCATTGGCGGCCTGAGCCTGAGCACTTGACGAGCTTTCTCCCTTCCTCTCAGGACTTCGAGGTTTGAGCAGTAAGGTGCACTCAGCTAGCTTCCCACTCGCACGCGCAAACAACGCGAAGGACGGAAATCGCTCACTTGCCAGCAGCATCGCTGTTTAAAGAGTTTTCTTTTTCACATCACCACTTCCATGAACCCCACATCTGATCAAGTCTGTGTTGCACAGTTTGACATTAACAAAGCATCAACATTCTGACAACCTGCTGGGGTCAGAAAGGAACATCTTAAAACTCTTTGGCCTCCACATGAGGACGGGCTTCCAATCCCGATCTTTGATCTCTATTATAAAGCAGTACCAATAAAATATCGTAGAGATTTATGGGCGAACTTTCATTTGAGCTGTTTCACACCTAAAATAACACAAGTGCTTGGGCCAATAGGCAGAAATTTTCAGTTTAGGTTTCAACTGTTTAGGTTTTCTTTTACTTTTAAAACCCAATTCACTTATTAAAAAAATTACCTTAAGTTTTACAATTACATTGTATTTTCTTCTCAGAGAAGACAGTGGGAGAGAGTGACTGGGTAGATGGTATGTCCTTCTGAGGACAGGCCCAAGTCAGGGCAAACCACTAGTCCCTATCCTAACAGCTATCTATCTTTTGTCAAAAAAGGTGGTTTTTCAAAGGATTCAAATGGACAATTTTTAAATTTATCTTTCCTCCTGGGTATACCCTAGTGTTAACAAGAGTAACCAAATATTTATTTCTGAAAATAAAATCCCAACAGGAAGAATTTCATGTAGCGGACAGTGAGACGGTGTTTGGCCCACAGACCTCCGCGCTGTATGCTGTCCTGACCTATGGCAGGGTCCCTGAGTCGATCTTAAACTGCAACCTGACATCAGTCACTCACAGGCCAGCAGAACTGAATGAACAGCATCAGGCCACTACCTTCCAGGTGGGAAATAGCCAGCACCCCTGTCCCCACCACACACTCCTCCCCCAGCTGGTGGAACTGGGACATGATTCCGCCAAATGAGCGCACAGAGGATCTAAGGAGGAGGAAAGCAGCTCGTCCAGCTTTGAAGACCTTTATAGGCAAAGTAAAGTGAAAACAGCAGAAAAGTTCCTGGACACAGTCCTTTAAGAAACAAAAACGAGTAGGAAGAAAGGTCAGAACTGTGGTTCCAAGGAATCCGGAGGAACAGCCACTGCTGTCCAAGGTTGTGGGCCGGCGCCACTTGCTTCTGCCAAGCTGGGGGCAGTGCCGGGCGGCAGGAGCCCGCAGCCACTCAGAGGCACGAGGGCCCTTCCTCCACCCAGCTCCCATTCGCAAAGCTTAGGAGTCCCAATGCGAAATTCTAGAACTGTGATGATCACAAAACCAAAGCAAAGAGAACAGAAAAGAAAACATGCTTAGTTATTTAACCCAATTTTGTTTCATCATTTTCTGATTTTGAAACAAAATTCCTGGTTATGGAAGGAGAACACAGCAGCTAGATAAGAGAAAGACACCTGCTTAAAGGAAGCACCTCTCACTAGGACTAAAATGCATAAGCATTTGAATTTGAAGAGCAGAGTTAACCTTTTCTATGTGGACAGAACATTTCCCATTTATTCACCTTATGTGGTCTCTGGAGAGACTGCCACTTCGCTCTCTCTTCCCATCATAAATTCTAGTTTTTGTAGATGAAAGTGATTTTGGAGTCTCATCTCCCTTCCCTAAGAGGCCCAGCAGTTTCCGGCAAGGGATGTGGATGAGAAGTCTCCGACGTGGGGTTATAGTAAATGTAGTCCATGCATTGCTAGCACATGGCTAGGGCACTCACAGGTCAAGTGACATTAGGTTTACTGGACCTGCCAGAGGTATGTCCAGAAGTCCATCTTCCCCATGTCACTATGCTGCCCACTAGGGCTGAGGTGGGAGGTGCTCTAATCCTGTGCACCAGAGCAGGGCTATAGGAGGTCTTGGGTCAGTGGGAGCGGATGGGAACTTTCCGCAATGGCCATGTTGATACTGCAGAAGTCCTAGCAGAAGTGGGCTCCACAGTGAAGAAGGAGTGATAGTGAACAGAAGTCAACAATAACTAAGAGAAGAGAATGCCGTCCTATAGATGCGTCTCAATGTTTGTACCACGATATCCATGAAGGTCAGGGCTTTCTAGAGCCTCTTCAGAACCCTTATGTGGGTGGTTTTCTCAAACCTATAGCTTCGTACCCATCTAAATACTTCTATTTGGAGCTGGCAGCATGGTGAATTTCCCCAGGAGTTAGAGAGGCAGTAGCCAGAAGCACAGTGGCCTACCAGGACATGATGCTTCTGAGTGGTGCTTAGTGCCTGGTTTTTCCTTGGCCAGCTGTGTGGGCACATAGGTGTGCTGGCAATGGGAGCTGCCAATCAGATTAGACAGTGGAGGGAGACTGGGCCGCTGTATCCCCTCCCTAGGTGAGGACATTTGGAAGTTCCCAGAACGGAACAGGTTTGGGACCTGGGATGGTTTCTTGCCCCTGAGAGATGGTGCCAGTAAAAGGTTGCCAACTCCCATGTACCTGTGTGTGTGT